GTGCGCCGCACCTGTCTCCGTTGCCCTTGGCGGGCCCCGCTGCGCCACGGAGGAGGAGGAGGGGGAGCAGGAGGAGGAGAAGGAGCAGGGCGCCCTCTGCCCATCCCGGTCCCTCTCTCCCTCTCTTCCTCGCTCTTGCTCATCCTTTCCTTCTCTCTCTCTCTCTTTCTCGCTCTTTCGCTCTCTCTCTCTCTCTCTCGCTCTTTCGCTCTCTTGCGCTCTCGCTCTCTAGCTCTCTTACTCTCTCTCTCTCTCTGTCTTTTTTTTTTGTTCTCTCTCTCTCTCTCTCTCTCTCTCTTGGGCAGATCCACCATTCACGGGCGCGCTGGCGCCCAACACGAGTCGGGTGAGGATATTCTGTACTCCCCTGTCTACATTTTTGCCTGCGGGGGTGTGGCGGGAAAACCGCTCCCCCTCCCAAAACTGGACTCCCTGGATCCGTGGCCCCAGAGGCCTTCTGGACGCCTCTGCAGAAGGTTCCCCCGGCTTTCTGGAGCTCCTGGAAGCTCCCGCTGGGCCAAGGCAACGATCTCAGATCGGTCAGGAGGGCGGCCGAACGGGCCCCCGAGGGCCCCAAGAGGCCCCAGGCACCCACCAGACGCCTGAAGTCGACCCAAAGAAGACCCCCAAGAGGATTTCGAACTGCAGAGATACATGGATTTCCCATGCTTTTTTGGATTATTGTTGGAATGCTCTGTTTTCGGTCTTCTGGGCGTCTGGGACAGCCGCGAGGAGGCCCGACAAATATCCCAAAACTTGGGCCGCCATGGGGCTCTCTTAGGGCCATCTTGGACCCTTGTTGTGCCGTTTTGGGGTTCTCTCGGACTGCCTGGAAGACCTTTCAGATGGTTGTGGGGCGATTTTATTGCCTCCCAGGCGGTTTCGGACGCCCAGAAGACCGCCGTCTTGGAGCGTCGGGAAGCCGACAAGAGGAGAACCCCAAATTCACCAAAAACCTATATGAAGTCAATGATTTTTCCCTCTTGGGGCCTTCTTGGGGGTTCTCGTGGAGGCCTCTTGGTACGTTTTGGAGCGATCTTTCGGGGCATGACGGCTTCTTGGGGGTCGTCATGGACCGTGTTGGAGCTCTCTGGGGTCGTTTCGGGAGCGCGCCGGAACGCCTGGAACCCGTCTGGGGCCGTCTTCGGGCTCTCGTGAGGCCCGTCTGGAGGGTCCCAAAGCCCCAGATCCCGGGAGTCCAGTTTTGGGGGGGGAGGGGTTTTCCCCCCGCCCGGGCTTGTACAAATATGAAAAGATGATGTATACATATATATATATATATGTTTACGTGTGTGTATTTACAAATGTACAGATGTTGTGTGTGTGTGTGCTTGTTGTGGGTCCAGGAATGCTTGGTTCGGACAATGTAGTGTTCAAGTGTTTCATGTGACGATATTGCGAGTAGTTGTGTTGGGTGATCCAATGTTCATGTTTTCATCTCACGTTTTCATAAGAAGGATCCGTGATTTGCGGCGTCGCGCGGTCTACAAGCTCCTCGGGGCGTATACCACGATACATGTAGATTTTATCATTCTTGAACCCAGTGCGAACAAGAAGTCAACGCTTTGAACATTGAAGTTGTGCTATTCCTCTTTTTGGGTTTGCCCACGGGTATCTCGCTTGATCTGCAAAGACCCGGTGGGTGCCGCCTCCCAATTCAGAGGCGGCCCCCAGCGTTGATCGGTTCCCTGATCTTGGTTTCTTTGCTGCCTTGCTTAGGTTCCTGCCTCTTTCGCTCCGCCCCTATGCCCCACGCAAGCTTCTGCCTCTTCTGCTGCCCCCCGCAACCCCCGCGCTCCCGTTTCCTGGCCCTCCCTGCTCCGAGTTCCTTGACAGGATGCTGCTGATGATGATGCTGATGATGGTGATGGTGATGATGCTGATGATGATGTGGACGATGATGATGATGATGATGATGATGATGATGATGATGATGATGATGATGATGATGATGATGATGATGCTGCTGATGATGATTATGATGATGCTGATGCTGATGATGCTGATGCTGATGCTGATGATGATGATGATGATGATGATGATGATGATGATGATGATGATTCTGATGATGATGATGAGGATGATGATGATGATGATGATGACGATGATGATGATGATGATGATGATGGTGGTGGTGGTGATGATGATGATGATGATGATGATGATGATCATCATAATGATGATGATCATGATGATGGTGGCGGTGGTGGTGGTGATGATGATCATGATGATGATGATGATCATGATGACGATGATGATAATGATGATCATGCGGAGGAGCAACAGGAATATATTGATGATGTTGATGCTGCTGCTGCTGCTGATGATGATGAGGAGGAGGAGGAGGAGGAGGAGGAGGAGAAGAATGATGAGGAAGTGGCTTCCTCTCCCTCTGCGCGCTCGCGTCGCCCCCGTACCCACTCGTGGTCTGCCTTCACGCTCGCAGCACGGGGGCGCTCTACCGAGGTGAGCCGAGTCGACTTCCCGCCGCGCCTCTCCGCGCGGACAGCCTGCGGGGGGATCTCTCTCGGGCCTCCCCATCGTCGACAGCGTCGAGATCCTGATCCTTCCCCATGCTGCTCTTTCCTTTGCTAGCGACGATGAGATACTTTCTCCGCCTCCTCCTCCTCCTCCTCCATCTCCTCGTCCAGCTCCTCCTCCATCTCCGTATCCTCCTCCTCCTCCTCCTCCTCCTCCTCCTCCTCCTCCTCCTCCTCCTCCTCCTCCTCCCCTCTTCTCGTCCTCGTCCCTCCGCGCTCGTCCCCATTCTCGCCCGCCTCCTCGCCCTTCCCGCGTGCGCTCGCCCCCGCGCTCGCGGGCGCCACGGCGCCCCTCCCTGCGCGGAGAGGTATGCTGAGGGTGTGCCTGCCCCAGCTCCCCCGTCTTTATGGGCCTGTTTTCCACCGCCACCACCATAAGTTGGAGGGGTGGAGGATGAGGAGGAGGTCGAAGAGGAGGGTGAGGATGAGGATGAGGATGAGGATGATGATGATGAGGAGGAGGAGGAGGAGGAGGAGGACTTCCTCCCCCTCCTACTTCTGGTGGTGGTGGTGGAAAACAAGCTCACCACGTCTTTCCCATGAGGGCCGAAGTGGTCACTGTCGGACCGAGGTATAAGATCGAGGTCCGTTCGGGGAGGGTGCTCTGATGTTCTTCGTGTTTGTTGGATGTTCTTGTGCACCCTGGGGAGGGTACCCTTAGACGTTCTGTGTGCTTTGGTCGGCGGAGGCTCTCTTGTCGTGTTCTTGAAGGATCTTCTTCTGTCCTAGGTCCGACTGAACGGACAGAACGGGTACGACGTCTAACAGCTGTCGGCGTCGCCGCGGACGTTGTCCTTCTGAGACACAAAGGCGGCTGGCCAACAGCGGCTGGCGTTGGTGTCAGACAACACCTGCTGTTGGACATCGTACCCACTGCGGTCGTGCCGACTCTCTAGCTCCCCTCCTGTATCTCTCGCGCGCAGCCCCCTTTATTGGCAGCACAGATGCTACCTTCGTTGCCAAAGCCCGATTTCTCCTCGTCTCAGCTCCTCACGGACGGGCAAGCGGGCTCACCCGACGCAATAGCGGCACGTAGGCTCACGCAGCAAGGTCACATGGTGGGTTGGTTCTCGCAGTGCTCGCGATGCTTCCGAGGTTATCAATTTGTTGTGAAGCCTTCTGCTGGAACATGCCGCGGGGGTCCTGGGATCGGTATCGGAGGTCTCGACGCTTCGCAGTTCCAGGGGTTAAGCCAGAATGTGCTGCCCGCTGCAAGCAGGAGTGCAAACCACTGCCCCCCAAGGGGAAGCAGGGTCGACATGATTCGTGGAATCGTATCGCGTCTGGGCGCCACCCCAAGCTCGAAGGTGTTACAGCTGACATCGGGCCCTGGGCTGAGGTGGGTCCAGACGCAGAAGCGGATCCGTAATCATTCACCGTGTGTCTAATCTCCCGAGGCGCCGGCCACTTGCGCGCCCTCTCTGCTTGGGGACTTGCTCTGCCTCGTCGCTGCGCGCGACGCCGCGATCGCGGACAAAGCCTGTGCGTGTGCGATGCCAGGGTCGACGCCATGTGATCCCCGTCCTTCGTCTTGCGGGGCCGGCCGCGCGCGCGCTCTCTTCCGCTTGGGGACTCGATCCGCCGCGATGCCGCGAGCGGGGCCGCGATCGCCAAGAGTGTGGTGTGTGTGTAGGCCGTCCGGGCGTAGGCGCGCGCGTGCCACTGCTCGCACTCGACTCTTTACTCCCCGCCGCCGCGCGCGGTGCCGCGACGCCAAGCAAGTGTGTGTGTGTGTGAGTGTGTGCCTTGAGGGCTCTCGCCTCTTCCTTGCTTCCCTCTTGACTAGTGGGCGCGCGCGCGGTCCTCCGCGCGGCGCGTCTGACGGTGCGGCGAGTCGCCCACCCGCAACGACCGAAAGTTGTGTGTGTGTGTGTGTGTGTCGTGCGGCTGTGGTGGGCACCTTCCACGGTGTTGCGTGCATCCTCCCCGCCATCCATGCTGGAATGTCTGATGCAAGTAAAACCGCAACCGAAGCGATAGTCGAGGGCCGGGCCGCCGCGCTCGTTGTGTGTTCGCTTTCTCCGCCTCGTCGCGGCGCGCGAGGCCTGCCGTCTCCAGCCCCCGGGAGTCGCGACGGTAGGACTAAAGCGGGCTGGAGGTAGCAACTGGAGAGGGATTGTGCTTCGATGGTTCCCACGTGCGGTCCTGCCAGTCCACCCAGCGGTTATCATGGCTCACTGGAACCGGGAGGCAAGAGCTGGCCCGATCCGTTGCCTGCTTTACGTTTTGGGAGTTTCAGTGGAGACGCAAGCTTTGGAGAGATAGTCACCACAGCCACCTTTGTGAAATCAGGCCAGGTCACTTCGCCAACGATGCGCTGTTTGAGTTGGTTCCCGAGGCTCCCCTGGTGAGACATGCGTGTCATAGTACGGACACGCAGCTGCCTCGTAGCAGTCGTCGTGGGAACTATGCACGCAATCCCCGCCGATCCTCCTGGAAGCATAGGGGCATGGTGAGGAT